AAGAGTTGTATAAGCCCCCAATACAATGATTAAAAAAAACAACCAATAACTGTTTAGCTTAACTAGCAAATAATATCTGCCTTTATAGCATTGTGTCCTTTTAAAATACAATCTACATAGAATCAAGTAACTTAAAAGATCAGATAGGAAACTTGAGGGACAATGAGCTTAGGTTACTAAAGAATGAACTCAAGGAAAGAAAGATGAAAATGGTTGCATAACTCAAAGAATGTAATCATGGCTGATGGATTCTACACATAGAAGGGGGCGGGGAGGAGCTGATACCAAGGGCTCAAGCAGAAAGCAAATGTTTTGAGAATGATTAGGGCAACAAATGTACAAATGTGTTTGACGCAATAGATGTATGTATGGATTGTGATAAGAGCTATATGAGCCCCCAATAAAATGATTTTATATATATGTGTATATAATTTTTCAAAAGTAAAAACATCACTTCGGTGGTATACCCACAAAATTAGATAAACTCAAAACCAAGCCCATTGCTATCAATTCGAGTTAAATTCATAGTGAACATTCTTCTTCTTAGTTCACACAATTTTAAATTCATGAAAATTAACAGTTTATTGATTTTTTTAATTCTCCTACTGGATCTCATTTTAAAGCGGTCTTAAATTACTGCACTGCTAAATATAATCATATAAATATTTGTGGAACATTTAAAATTAATGTACTTGATCAATTATAATGTAGTGTGTATCTTACGGTGATAGCTCTTGGGGCTAGTAATGGGCCTGATGATTGATACCAGTAATCCTTTCAGGTTGCAGCTGAAGAGACACCTCAGGAAAAACTAAGGCTAGACAGCTAACTGATGTTAAAATCCTCACTACTGATCCTCAGTCCAGGGCTCAACTAATTAATTATCTGCTATAAAGGTAGAAAGACCTTGCTACCACATAATAAATAACCTGATCAAAACAGGAAAGTAATTGAGACTTTTTTTCATCTCTAGGGATGCCAAACCTTTCATTCCACAACCACAAATCAGAGTAATGAAGATGTACAGTAAATATCCACAATTCACAATGCTCTATATGAGGGGAGAATACCAGCTCCCAAACTCTATCTACAGCATACTTGCTATTTATAAGGATCACTGGACATCAACTTTCTCCTGATATTGATTCAAATCATATGGAACCTTCTGCCACTAAATAATAGGTTCCCCTATGCAAATCAAAGCCAAATAATAATATCCATAACTTCTTTCCTTACATTCAAGAAATAGATTATTATTTTATTAAGAATGTGAAGGGGAGGTACCATTCTTCTAATGAAGCAAAGAATTAACTCACCCCATCTGGCAGGAAAGTCACTTGCCTAACATCGGGGTACACATAGATCCTTCTTAGTTACTTTGCAGTGAACAGCAGCTCCTGGTGACCTTACATACAACAGAACAAAACATTGTACAGTCCTGGGCCATCTTCATGATGATTGATGTTTCCAATTCCATTGTTGCAGCTATTGTGTACTGCCTTCCAACCTTGGGGGGGCTTATCTTCCAGCACTATGGCAGAAAATAGTCTGTTGTGACCCACAAAGTTTTCATTGCCTAAATTTCAGAAGCTGATCACCAGGCCTTTCTTCCTTTGTCTTCAAAATTTTGGAAATGAGCCACCGAAAAACAAACCCATAGCTTTCAAGTGGATTCTGACTCATAGTGACCCTATAGAACAAAGTGGAACTGCCCCCCTTTGGGTTTCTATAAGTAAATCTTTATGGCAGCAAATTACATAACCAAAAGGGCAATGGTTCGAACTCACCAAGCACTCCAGAGGAGAAAACTGAGGCAATCTGTTTCCATAAAGATTTACAGCCTTGGAAACCCTCTGAAGCACTCCCACGCTTTCCTCTACAGGGTCTCTGTGAATCAGAATCGACTCTATGACAGGCAAAGTGGTATGAGTGCAAGACTAATTTTTACATACATGTACTGTCTTTTCGTGTACATTTCTTAAGCCCCTCAAAGACTGGGATCCTAGTGGACAGAGAATAGTCTCTTACAAATCTTTATATCCCTAGTAGTACCTCAAACAATAGCCTCACATATGGTAAATGATCAAAAAAGACCTCTTGTGCTCACAGAAAGAAGATAGCACTGTAGGAAGCCTAGAAGGCTTCCTGTTGGAAGCAGCAGGCTCAAGATGAGATTTCTATCTTAAGCAGTTTCACAATCCAAGAGATTAAAGTATGTAAATTACCTGTAGAGTCAACAGGAACGGCATATATGTAAATATAAGGAAAGTTCCAGGAGCTGCATTTGACAGGGATAGTCTGAGAACATAAAGGCTATTAAACAAGTTAAAAAACGTGAAAGTTGTGAAGGCCATTCAGCATAAAATGATTTTGAAGAGATACAAGACTCTAGTTTTCAAAGAACAAAAAGAACATTTCCACGGGTATAATAAGGACAACAACGCTCATTAGACAATGGAAGTAAACTTTGTTGATGGCTGGCCACAGACCTAAAGCAGCAATGCAAAGCCTGAAAATGTGACTTAATAGGGAAAGGTCTTTGGGAAATGATTAATAACTACTATGTCAAGAATTGACAGGAAACCCCAAAGGGAAAATACTGTAAACAAATATATGGAAATCAGAGATTATTAATGGGTACCAGAGGTTGAAGAAAAGGAAGGTACTTATTTTTGTTTAAAGGCACTGTATTGATATTAATGATGGTGGAATAGTTTGGAAAGGGTAGTACTAATGGCGATACAACATGAAATGTGCAATCACTGTCACTGGAGCTAAAACTGTGGAAGTTGTGTGGGCAGATGTTTCAGTGTGTATATTTTTACCATAAGTGTTTAAAAGATCTTTTTCTTTTAAAAAAATCACACACACATGGAAGGGAGAAAGCTAGAATAAGGTGCCTATTAAGAGAAATCATCCTTTACATTCAAGTTCACTTAAGGATTTTTCCATGTACCAGAATCAGATAGAGATTAGTTACACATACTTGAGATGCACAGCCAACAGAGCCCTACAGTCGTATATAATCATTCTCATTTAAGAGTCCATCATGGCACTATGGCCGTAATACTTCAGCAGTGGTTTCTACCCCCATCTTCTTGAATCTGAAGTCTCTTCTTGACACTGCCATTGAGTAGATCCAACTCATAGCCACCCTATCTAGGATGCCCAAGACGATAAATCTTTGCAGGAACAGATAGCCTCATTTTCCCCTGTGGAGCCATTCGTGCTTTGGAACTGCCAAACTTACCTATGGATTATGACATGACAAAAATGTGCCCAACCTCAATGACTGTCCCAAATTAGCATGATGTGAACACTATGACTAAACCCGAATTTCTTTAATCTAATATACTTTGGGCCATATGGGTTCTGGTTTTTTTAAGATAGTCCTTTATCTTGGAAGTTTGTCCCAACATCCTTCAAGAACCAGTACTTGTCGGGCCCTAAGAGGTGATTTTTATTTCAGTAAAGATAGTTGCCTTTGGGGTGAGGGGTGGGAGGGGGAGGATGAACTGATACCAAGGGCTCAAGTAGAAAGAAAATGTTTTGAAAAAGATGATGGCAACATATGTACAAATGTGCTTGACACGACGGCTATATGGATTGTTATAAGAGCTGCAAGAGCCCGCAATAAAATGATTTTAAAAAACAAAAAAATAGTTGCCTTAACTATATACAACTGTTATTTTCTTTCGTTAATTTTCAATCATAGTTAAGACCACATTTTCCTAAATTAGCACCAATTAACCTACTATCTCTAGGTCCACAACATATTAGTCTTCTCTTGTGAGACAAAATAATATAATGGTTGAGAAAGCAAGACTTCAGAGCCAGGTGGGTTTGAATTCAAATTGAACATTTCCTTGTTGTAAGGAAATTAAACTCTCAGTTTTCATTTTCTACATCTGTAAAGTGGCGTTGATAAAAGTACTCCCTTAAAAAATTACTGTGAGAATTATATGAGGTAGTATTGTTCAAGTTACTGGAATATAATAAGCAATATAGTATATCATCATGGCCTTTATTGCAGAGTAGGGACACTTCATATTGGCCACCAACAGTTGCACATCTTTAAGCAAAATTGTCATCACCAGTGATTCTAAAATATGAGGGGACTTCAAAGTTTGTGGAAATGTTCCATTCTTTTAATTCCATTTATCCATAAACTTTTTGACGCCCACTTCACAGCTAACTAAGACAAAATGCTCTGGCCCTCCTTCTTGCCACACATCTGAGAGATGCCTATCAAACCTAGCCCAGATCAGCCTGGGCCAGAGAGCTCCAACAGCTCCTCCTGATGAAGTCACTCCAGTATTTCATGGAATCCTTACCTCATGTTTGGGCCAATCGAGAACACTTCAAAACATGAAAATGAATCTCAGAAATGCATGTGATTTAAAAAGAAAGAGTTTTGTGAGTTGTTTTGTTGTTGTTGTTGTTGTTTGGTTTTTAACAGTTCCTTATCTGTGACTCCATAGCACTACTTTCTTTTATTTACTCCTTTCCATCTGGTGGAGGAAGAAGCAAGCCAGCAAGGCATCCTTGCTTCGCAAGCATGAGCAGGGAAGCAGAACTCAGCACTCGTATACATCAAGATGCTTCCATACACATTCGCAAGTAACTGTGTCCTCCTCCCTGCTCCAATACTCAGAGCTACATAGCACAAACTTCCAGGTGTACCTACATCAACTTGGGAAAAACACACACTCGTCAGCTGTCAGCAGGTGAGAGGGGGCAGCCTTGCATGGGTGTGAGGACCACTGTGCAGAAAGCATGCTTATACATTCAAGAGAAATTCCAGAAGCGTTTGATGCACTCCGCACACTCCCAAAGCAACATGCTCCCCACAAACCACCTTTCCTTTTCCATCTCTCTGGTAATAGACACCTTCCGGGATGTGCACTGGGCTGTTCCTGAAGGCAAGGGGAACAGAGGCACGTGTGCCGGCCGGTAACTCACAGGCACGGAATCTGCGCGCGAGTCCTGCCCTCACTCACCTGGCCGGTGATGCCAGTGATGAGTGCCACCTTCCTGGACCTGACCGTTTCGCCATCCCCGGAGCCCCGGGCGCTGGGGCAGCCGCCACACGCGTGGGCCATGTCCTTGCAGGTGTGCAGCGGTGAGGAAGAGAGCCTAGCTGAGGCAAAGAGCTCGGCAAGAGTAAGGGATTGGAGCCCTGCGGAGTAACTGAGAGTCGAGCTGCCCGGGGAGGGAGGAAGAAGAGGAGAAGGAGAAGGGGCGGGATCAAGAGAAACAGGAGCCGGAGGCAGAGGGGCGGGCGCCCAGCGGCCCGGCGGCCTCCGCTAGCCCAGCCCCGCGGACCGCCAGAAACTGACAGGCAGGCGGAGGGCGGGGCCCAGGCAGTGGGCGGAGCAAAGAGTGGCGGCGGGGCTGCGGCAGTGCGCGCCGCGTCATTTACGTCATCCCGCGACGCTCCAGGGCGCCAGCGGCAGGACCCGCCCCCCCTCCCCGACTCCCGTGGTCCCCGCCCCGCTCCTGTCAACGGCGCGCGAGGGGCGGGGCCTAAACGTTCTTGCGCGCCGTTTCCCTGGCTTGGTGGGCTGCCTCAGGAAAGGAAAGAAAGGAGCCTAAGAGGAGTCATGAGGTGGGTGCACGTCATGTCTCACCCTGATTGAAACCCCCTGGTCTTGTCCACCTTCTCGAATCTCCCAGAAATCCAAGAAATCCTCGAGGATGCTGGCAGGAACTATGAGCTGACCTTTCCCATAGGAAAAAGACAGCACTTCTGAATCTAGGATCACAAGACATCTGTTCTCGACTTTTAAAAAGAATAGCTGTAAAATGTTGGCGTACCTTTAGAGGAGCCTCATTTTACATCACATTGCAAAGGTAGAAAAATGTAGGGAAAGACTGACTTCATCTCTAACATGACCTCCTTGCTCTTCTTGCACTGCCCTGAGACCGACTACTAGGACTAGATTCCAAATAACCCTAGTCCAAGGATTCTAGTTCAAAGGACTGGCAGTGCAAAAGAAAAAAGTCTCTGGCCAGATTAAGAAAATGAAAGGGCTGCACATGTTAGTTAACCTGGACGTCGCATGTTTCAAAATAAGTCATTCATATGCAAGGTGGAGACTTCGCAGATTATTGAATTTGGCTTCTATTTGGCAGCTGCTGATTGGACAGGAACAGGAACCAAAGTGATTGGGGCCAGGAAAGAATAGCAAGTGTAAAAAAAAAAAAAAAAAAGAATAGCAAGTGTTTGTACCTAAGCAGTTGGCTGGAAACCAGGAAGGAGACAGGAATTTCCTTAACCTGCTGTGCTGCTTTACTGATGTATGTATTTCCTCTTCCCAATAGCTTTAGAACGTTCATTTAAACAAAAACTGAGTGACTAGGAGAGTGCCTAACATATGCACATGATATATGGGAGTCCTTACAGACATTGAGTTCCCAAATCAGTAAAATTCATGAATTAAATTAAAAATCACCTTCCCACCAAGCTCCTCAGGAATTCTTAGCTTTATAAATAGACTCATCTTTGGTTTCCTATAAAGCCTCTTCCTTTTCTTTTCTGCATGAAAAAAATAAAGGAATGCAAAGTTATTCCAGCTGCCAGTGCGAGACTTCCTCCGGATGAGGAAAGAAGAGCACCTGGACCACAGAAGAGGAGTGCTTTCATTTAGAACAGGGGTTGGGAACAGCCAACCTGCCACTAATGTCACACGCCTCACCAAAGAAAAGCAGTACCAGCCATGACAGGTGAGTTAACTTAATGTTTGACCAAATATACTAAGCTAATATTTGATTTTGGTGTGCATCAGGGTTGTATCCATTCACCATAATTGTTCAATCTGTGTGCTGATCAAATACTTAGAGAAATTGGATTATATGAAGAATGTAGCATCGGGATTGGAGGAAGGCCTGTTCACAGCCTGCAGTATGCACACCTTGCTTGCTGAAAATGAGGAAGACTCGAGGCTTTTGCTGATGAGGATCAAGGACTGCAGCCTTCAGTGTGGATTACAACTCAATGTAAAGAAAACCAAAATCCTCACAACTGGGCCAGTAGGTAACCTCATGATACATGGAGAAAAGGTTGAGATTGTCAAGGATTTCATTTTTGTTTGGGTCCACAATCAGTATCCATGGAAACAACAGTCAAAATATAAAATGACACATTATATTAGGTAAATCTGCCCAAGATCTCTTTATAGTATTGAAAAGCAATGAGGTTACATTGAGGGCTAAGATGCAACTGACCCAAGCCGTAGTATTTTCAATGGCCTCATGTGCACAAGAAAGTTGGGCATTGAATAAGGAAGAGAGAAGAAAAATCAATGCATTTGAACTATGGTGTTGGTGAAGAATATTTTAAAGTACCATGGACTGCCAAAGAAACAGCTGTCTTGGAAATAGTACAGCCAGAATGTTCCCTAGAGGCAAGGATAGAAAGGTTGTCTCACATACTTTGGATATGTGATCAGGAGAGACCAGGCTATGGAGAAGAACATCATTCTTGGTAAAGTGGAGGGGCAAAAAAAAAAAAAGAATGTCCTCAAGGAGATGGATTGACACAGTGGCTACAAGAATGAGCTCAAACTAGAGCAGTTGTACCACAGGCCCCAGGCAGTATCTCGTTCTGTTGTTCATAGAGTTGCTATTGGTCAGAACTGACTTGATGACACATAACAACAATTTTTCATGGCCCGTGAATTATACAAATGACCTTTGGCAGAGAAAGGTTCCCCACCCCTGAATTAGAGGAACCTCCTGTAAGCAAGAAATGTCTTTGAAATCTACTGTATTATCTCTAAAACTTGTTTTTGTGTTAACATAAGTATTGGAAGTGAACCAAACCAACACAAACCAGTGATGGCACAGACAATGAAAACCAGCAGAAAACTATAGCCCAGTTATTTAAGTGATAGGCTATTAACCTGAATACTGGTTGTGTTAGGGTTGACTAGAGATACAAATTCATAGACACTTATGTGTACTAGAGAGAGCTTTATATCAAGAAGCAATTATGCATCAATAAAACAGTTCAGATCAACTCAGTTCAGATCAATCCACGAGTTCAATATTAGCCCGTAAGTCTGATATTCACCCATGAGTTCCTCTTGAGACTCATGCAACACATGCAATGATGCTGAATGCAGGAAGATCACAGTCCTGTGGATGTAAAGTCTTGTGGGTCCATGGCAGTGGAAGCATCTCAATGCTGGCAGGGGTCTCCACATGGCAACTCCAGCGCCAGGACTCTAGCGTAGCTGCAAGTATCTTATCAGCAGGAATATCTCACAGGGAGCGAGTCTGCATCTGACCTCTGGTGAACTGTTTATCTCCATTTTTGCCTTCCAAATGACATCATCAAGGTGCAACATGATTGACAGACTAGACTCCACCCCCTTTCAAGTTGACAGGAGATTATGTAACTGCCACACAGGCAGTTCAAACCCTCCAGCCACTTTGCAGGAGAATGATGTACCAGACTGCTTCTGTAAAAATTCAGCCTTGAACCCCTACGAGGCAGTTCTATTCTGAACGATCCAGACTGTGACTCAGAATCAAACCAACAGTAACAGGTTTGGTGTTTTGGATGGTGGTTTAGTGTTTCTAGACCTAGTATGAACTCTTAAGACTCCATCTGTCCTAGTATGAAGCGTGATAATAGAAGAAATCATAGAAAGAAAAATAAATAGTACTGTTATGGTCTGTAAACAAATATTTCCCAATTTTTTAGAGAATTGCTAAGTAAGCGATATGGCAGGTGGTTGAAAAATGAAGGAGATTTCTCAAAGCTTCCCTGAAGAAAGGCAGTAGGGCAACTAAAGGAGAAAAGGAGTGTCTTCATTCATCTGGGTTCTCAAGAAAAGCAAAACCATTATAGCATACATACACATATATATGTTTATCTTAAGGAATGACTCACAGTTTTAGACACTGGCAAGTTCCAAGCCTGAGTCAATATAGCTCCAGGCTTCTCACTCATTTATCTGCCAAACAACAAAAAAACTCACTGCCATCCAGTCAATCCTGACTCATGGCAACCCTCTAAGACAGTGGTTCTCATCACCTGTGGGCCACGACCCCTTTGGGGGCTGAACGACCCTTTCACAGGGGTTGCCCTATTCATAACAACAGCAAAATAACAGTTATGAAGTAGCAACGAAAATAATTTTATGGTTGGGGGTCACTACAACATAAGGAACTGTATTAAAGGGTTGCGACATTAGGAAGGTTGAGAACCACTGCTCTAACCACTGGTAGAACTGCCCCTGTGGGTTTCTGAGACCATAATTCCCTGTAGGAGTAGAAAACCTTATCTTTGTCCTGTGGAATGACTGCTGGTTTCAAACTGCTAGCCTCATGGTTTGCACCCCAACTCATAACCATTATGCCACCAGGGCTCCTCCATGTATCTGAAGAGGCTGTTGAATTCAGGATCATCAGGCTTTGCATTAATTCTGTAATTAATTCTCATCAAGTATTTCATTCTAAGATTTTATTATCAGTTAACTTTGGCCATATTGTTTTGATACTTGCAGATAAGCTTTGGCTTTGCTGCTTGTTAAAACACTTGACCAAAACATTCTAACAGGAAAATGGACAATAATGCATTTATAAAAAGGCTGTCAGGAGTTCCAGTAAAGGATATAACCTTAGACAGATGTCCTGCAGAGCCCTCTTCAACAAAGCTGTGGAAAAGACAGATACAAAGGAAAAACCTAGACACCTGAATCTCAGGAATGAAAAATAAGGGGACCAAACACTGACAGAAAAGTTGAGGGTGAAAAACACCCAAAGACCAAGAGGAACAGCAAAATATCAGCTGGCCAATCACGAGTCAGGCAGCCCATGCCACAGCATGGAACAACCCAAATCATGAGATTAATGGGCCAGCCCCCAAGCTCTCTATACTAGCCAGGTTGGTGGCGTATACCCAGGATACAATTAAATCCCCTGAGAGGTTGGTTGTACCCCTCCCTCCACCCCTTAAGGGAAGGTGTGCATGCTCTGAAGATGGGGCAGGACTGCTACACAATACAGGAAGACAATTAAAGGAGGCTGAATCATAGCAGGTTTCCCAGAGTGCCCTGAGACCAGGAGGTGACACAGGTCACAGGTTTGAGCTCAGACATGTAGAGGCAAAGGTTGTGATTTACCACTTGGCCCCAGCTCCAGTATACAGTTCCAGCAAAGGTTCCAACTCATGGAAGTAGCTTAACACTAAAGCATGACTGGAGGACATTAAAAAAAAAAATTGACCACTTCCTGCTTTTTCCCCTTCTT